GCATCTCAGCACAAAAGATAACGAAAGAAATCTTTGTCAAGATTTGTTGACAATTCAAACACCGACTCGGACTTGAAAGTGCACGAGCTGCACTATGCACTATGCTCCTGGTGAAAGACAATGTTCAGAAGTTGAGAATTACATGACGTCAGTTGAACGTGTCATCTCATATACTTACATTCAGCAAGAGCCTGGGTACGCTAATCGATCTCAGCCTCCAGAGAACTGGCCGGAGAACGGCGAAATCACAGCAAAGAACCTGGGTCTAGTTTACTATCAGAGTGAACCAAAAATACTTAAAGATGTTAGCTTTACTACACATGCGCACGAGAAAATTAGAATTGTTGGTCGCACAGGAGCTGGCAAGTCATCATTGGTTTCAGCTCTCTTTCGCATGCCTCAACCATCCGATGACGTCATCATTGATGACGTTAACATCAGGGATCTTAACATTCAAAGCTCTCGTCGAGTGATGTCAGTTATTTCCCAGGATCCAGTTCTTTTTACCGGTTCACTGCACATGAACTTAGATTCTTTTGAGGAACACGACGACAAGGAACTCTGGGATGCATTGGAAGAAGCGAGTTTCGAGAGCATGATGAGGAAGTTACCAAAACGACTTAGCGAGGAGATTAAAGAATGCGGGGCAAACTTCAGCGTTGGTGAAAGGCAACATCTGTGCCTGGCTTGCACATTGTTGAAAAAAAGACCAAGATCATAATAATGGATGAAACAACAGCAAATGTGGATTACAGAATTCGCACAAAATTTAGACACTGTACTGTCATTACAATTGCACATCGACTGAACACCATCATAGATTACGATCGAGTTTTGGTTCTAGAAAACGGCCAAGTTGTCGAATACAACAAACCGGAAAAGCTGTTGGAGAATGAATACGGGCAATTTTCGAGACTTTACCATGGCTATGATAAGGATACCGACTAGTATAAGCCTGTTTCAGGCGTTCTTTTAGTTAGGGAGCAGCGCTGATGGAAAAATAGAATAGGAAAGGGGTCGGGGACGCGCCACCAACTAACTGAGCGCACTTTGAGAGGCTGAATAATCAGGTTACAGTAAAGCCCGAATTCTACAGCTACAAGAAATGGACATCATGGGTCAATCGTATTGAAGGCGCCGTTTCAATACTGGCTGTAAATTTCAAAAAAAATTGTGTTTTGTTTTGTTTTGTTTTTCATTTTTCAAAATACAGTCGAACCCTTAATAAGGTGCCACCTAGCTATTAAACGGCCACCCCTATTATTCGGTCAGTAATCATAGTCCTCACCGCAAAGTTACAAAACTCAAACCAAAATTTTCGCCCATCCTGGATTAGCTTAATCGGGCTTTGAAAAACCCGACCCAGGAGCTCCGCCTTTAGGCTTGGCTAAATCTATATCCGAAGGAAAAGAAAACAAACAGCGGATACATACATTACAAATAGACAACGCATAGTCTAAAAAACTTAACTCTATTGAAAACATACATCTTCAGAAGTGACGGTTATAACTATAACAAAATATTATAAATTTAAAAATAAAGCGAGGCACTGTTGACAAGTATAAATTAATAACAAATTTGATACTTCCGGTAGAAATTAATAAAGAAACAGCTTCTCACTGCCAACGTTTTCATTAAGTGAGGGTTTTAAGTCACTGATCAATAGCGTTCCTTTAATTTTACAATGCAAGTCGGACTTTCCAGTAGCAAGGATTTCAAAATGGTCCCATTTGATGTTGTGACCGGTAGAGATGACATGGTCTGCAACAGCGGAGGCGTGACCATCTTGTGAAAGAGTTTTGAAATGCTCGGTCTTCCTGTCATGCAACCATCGTTTGGTTTTACCGACGTAGGAGAAATCACATGCAGTCCCAAAAATTAGCTTTCTATACTATTTTAGATCTCTGAGAGCAGCAGAACCGATCTTTGTATGGAAATAAAGACTTCACCCTGCAAGTATTTTGACAAATCCATAAAACTTACTGATACAAGGTTTAACACGTCGGAAGAGAGCTTCGCTTTGGAAACCTAAAAAAGAAAAGACTAGGATGACATTTTTCTTCGGAACAGTGTGGGCAGGTTCAGCAGATCTGTTCTAATAACTCCATTAAGTAAGCGGCCACTATCCATCTCCCGAAGGTGGCCGTTTGATTAATAGGGGTTGAATTGTAGTCAAAAAGGCATAGGAGGGACAGGAAGTTTCAGTACAGACTGTACTAGACTGAAATCGCAGTTAGCTCCTAACTGAGAATCACCCTAACTTCAAAACAATGGAAGATGAAGGATATGGAAATTAATCCTACTTATTAAATACTGTATCACTGGATATTACAATTCGAGAGTTTTCATTGGCCATTATACCATGCTCTACAAATATGGTAAGCGTACGCGTGATATTTTGGGGCGTTTTTATTTTTATTTTAGTTTAGTTTTCCATATTTTGGGAGTGCAATTATTCCACGAGTGCGCGTTGGATATGAGGTGGTAGATGGCCAACGAGGCGCGTAGTCAATTATTGTCCTCGAACATTAACTATTCCGAGGAGCGAACGGTTTTCGGAGAGCGTAGCTTGAGGAAAACTGTGAGTTTTGAGGAACAGATAATGTCTAAGAACAAATATCCCAGCATATTTCCGCGCAAAATGGAGACTAGTTTGTGTATTAACCTTCAAATATTTTTCGAAACACACGCGTTTTGAAAATTGGTAAATATCACTCGGATATTCCCCAGTTTTAGCTGAGGGAATATTCACTCACCTGACGCGTTTAACTCAATCGCGCGCGAGCGAATATATTTAATTTGATGGATTATAAGAGATGATAGATAGTCAACGAGGCGCGTAGCGCCGGGTTGGCTATGATCATCTCGTATCTAACAAGCACGAGTCGAATAATTGTTTTATTAAAAACGTCCCCCAAATGTAGAAAACTAAAGTAAAATAAAAATGAAAACGCCCCCAAAATTACGCGTACGCTTACCATATTTGTATAGCATGGTATAATGGCTCATATACCGTGATGGCTAAGCAACTGAATACTCTTTAATTGCATTATCCAATGATCCAGTTTGTAATAATTATTATTAGTATAATTTTCAGAGGTAAATATAAGAATTAGACATTCTGATTGGCCGAAAAGCTCGGCTTATGACGCTATATCCACCGCGCTAGGCGGTAAATATAATAGTTTTGAGCTTGGTTACTAAGCTCGCCACCTTTGCCATCTCGGTAAGTAAACCTGGCGCATAGTTGCTGAATGAATTTTTCGTTTATTATAAAGACCTCACCCCAAGTCCAGAATATTTGAAAGGATGGAGAATTTTAAAGTGACTGTTGTCGCCCTTGGACCAAAAATCTTTTCAAGAACTCGTATTCAAGGCATTTAAGATGCGTAAACGCCGTGGTTACGTTGATCGCCAGCAGGTCAGATCGATTGACCGAAATTCCTTTTTCTTCAAACTAAAGCTACTAATTTTTAGACAACTGTGAATGAAGTCAACAACGATAAAACAACGGTAACAGATGAATTTATTTTTCTTATAGCGTTTCGTTTGTTTGTGTTATTGCCGCACTCGATGTGTAAACTGATTCACAATCGATGTAAATGTAAGCTTATTATTAAAACTACGGCTGGATACGTGTATGCAAACGATTGCAATTGCGTCTGTGTTTTTATGTTCTAGTCCGTTATTTTGTAGTCCTTGATATTCACCTCTGAAAATTATACTTAAACAATCATTCGCCTATTGGTGACTATTCACCTCGACTTTGTCTCGGTGAATACTCAACAATTTTCACTTCGCCTTCGGATAATGCAATTCTAGCTATCTGATTGGTTCAACGGATCTCGGTAACCAGCCATTTGACCTGCGTTTGACCTTATATGGAAATGAATGCGGAAAATGTCGCTCGGCAAAAATTTTTTCGCGGAGCCAAGTTTCGCTGACGAAAAAATGGAAAAAAAGCAGATTAGATGAGCTATCTACAGACAAAATAAATATGTGTTGATAAATGAATAAAGATGGTGAATTTTTTTTTATATGTTATTTGCCGGCGGGTAGGTCCGTATAGTGAAAAGACCTCGGCGACAGTTTTTCACTATACGGGCCTCCCAGCCGGCAAATAACATATATTTATTTTTTCCTCAGTTCGTGAGCGGGCAAAATTCAACAAATCAGCACGACGATCCCACCTGCCCGCCCCCGCAACCAATCAGATTGCAGGATTTGTTGAATTCCGCCCGCTCACGATCTGAGAAAGAAAATGAAAGAAATTATGGACAAAGTCGTCTCAGTAACAACAAAAAAAACCACAAGGTTTGAGATGAGACTATTTAACGATACGTACCCGTTAGGTTTCCCTTAAAAGTCGCAAAAATTCAAATATGGCCGTCGAGATTTTACGCATTCATGAAGATCAAGTAACAACAAATATATTCTGCTGGCACCAAAGTTTCGAAACCGATAGAAGAAATGTCAAAATAATAATTGAATGTCTGTCTGAAGTGTTTTTATGCATCTGCGAGGAAGAAAGATGGCACGTATTACAAACGTTCATTGGTGAAATCCATAAGAGACGCCATTGATGGTTTCCTTTGCTCGCCGCGGCTCAACAAACCGTTTTCCATTATCTCTGACCCCGCTATTACTGAGGCAAATAAAGTATTAGAGCATTTGTAAATACCTCAAGAAAACGGGCAACATTGCCGGCGTAGTCCATAAGAAACCAGTTTCCAATGAGCAGATGAAGAAACTGTTCGACATCGGCAAGCACGGACCGACCAAGGGCAAAAATCCCTCACAGCTCTAGAGTATGATGGCTGTCCAGTTTTAATCAGCCCATTAAGGTTATTTCGGGCTGCAGTCATGTTATTTTAACACTTATGTTTTGTAAACTGTAATTCCAGGTATGAGTACCAATAAAGTTGTTGTTGTTGCAGTCAGCCCCGGTTCTTTACCAGTCGCGAAAAACCCACCAGAGGGGCCTCAGTGATTCTGAAGATGAATCCAACATGAGCTGAGCTGAGCATAGTTGTTAAACAACTCTGCTAACATTAGTCGAGGAGTGAAAGCAAGCTGTGGATAGAAAGGAGATCGTGACAATCCTATCAACCGTCATGAGTAAGGTGTTGGATTCCTGATGATGACATTTTCTCACTATAAAGAGGCTAGATGCTTACGGATTCGGTCATAGCAGCTCGCTGGATCTAATTAGATCTTTCTTCGATAAAAGGCTCAACAGAGTGAAGATTAACGACCACATTAGTGAGTGGAAAACAATGGAACGCGGCTGTCCCCAGGATACGGCACTTGGGCCTCTATTGTGGACTGTGTGTCAAAACGACATGTCACATCATGTAAATGATTCGAATCTGACAATGTACGCGGAAGACTATCAACTGTAGATAACTGGAAAGACCCACGAGGTTGTTGATTCAGATCTGATGAGTCAAGGTTGGCAAGCATCAGCGTGGTACAAGAATAATGTTCTCCTTGTTAACCCAGAGAAGTTTCAATCGTTATCCCTCAATCCAAGAAATATTGATGCCGCGAATAGTGACAGAGCTTTTAACATTGACAACCAGGAAATCAAGAAAACGGAACCAATAAAATTGCTAGGCGTCTACATCGACGAAAATCTTAACTTTGCAGGTCATATCAGCGACCTATGCACTAGAGTTTGCCAAAAAGTTGGAGTACTAGTGCGTCTGCGCAATCTAATTCCCTGCCGAACGCTAAGTTAACATTGTACAAGTGTGCCATATAACCACATCTAACTTATTGCCACCTTGTATGGACCTTTTGTATGTCATACGATAGTAGGAAGATTGAACGAGTACAGGAACGCGCTTTACGGGCAATATATAAATCAAAGACGGAAACGTACGAGGTACTCCTCGCCCATGCCAGACTACCAACTCTATACAACAGACGCCTAGATACTGCCACTCTGATGTATAAAGTTAAACACAATCTAGTTCCAAACTTCCTATCTCGACTTTTCAAAACTAAGAACTCTCAATACTGCCTCAGACACTCTGACTTTGAAATACCTCGTTTTAATGCTGCATAAACACACAATAAGATACCGGGGTCCATAGATCTGGTCAAAACTTAGTAAGGAATTTAGGACGTCACCAACCCTCACGACATTTAAGACGAGCTAAGAAAAATTGACCTTTCAGACTTCATTGACAACAATAGTAGTTGCTGCAAACTATGTAAACTGTGACAGAATCATTTTATATCTTATTTTACAGTATTTATTATTAGAGCGGTTTTCAGAGTGTCGAAAGTAATCAGGCAATTTCTTTGGTTTTTTTTTTTTACTACGGTTTGAGATTGGTGAGTAGTCTAA